GGGTATAGCTTCTATTGTGTAGTAACCTTTAATTTGTTATATTGCAATTAAATACAATACAAATGTATAATAAAATTCACAGGTACAAAATTTCACCAAACGTAACAAGTTGTAACATGTGAAAGTCTATCCACATAAGAATTCCTGGAAAAGTTCTGAAGATTTCACGCTGGTCTCTTGTAAAATTTCATAATCTCTAGCTATTTCTTATTCTTTTATTTTTATTTATTTTATAAGATACAGTAGCGCACATATCCAGAAAACTGCTCAATGTGCCTTTTTTCCTGGTCATACAGAATCAATTATACACAAAGTACAACCTCCTCTGCTCCCTGGGGAGTATTCCTAGTTATGCATGTAATCAGCACTACTAATTTCATTCTGAATCATTTACCTTCTACTGGGTACTATTTATAATCCTAGGAGAAGAGAGGAAATGCAGATAAAGTCTTGCCTAAGGAAGACACAAAAGCAGTGTGACAAGCATCGGTCTCGAAACCCAGACCTTACGATTGAAAATCCAACGCCTTAAGCTGGCCACTCACTGCATCGTACGACCGTTGTACGGCATTGATCTGTTTGCGAACGCATCGTGGCATTTGCGTTCTCTACAGTAGAATCGCGCCGACCGACGACCGTTGAGTGCATTGAGTGCCCGACTTTAAATTTGCAAAATAATAAAACTCACTTCATGTTGGTGAAATCTGACGTAATCATGGCACCAACAAATCCAGACGCAGTGGTGCATTCGCTTCCGTGGCCAAAGCAGAAGCACTGTTGACACCCATCATAATCATTCCTCACATCCAGATTGAAATATCCAGTCTGACATTCGCTGCACTTGTCGCCAACGGCGTATGTTTTGCAAGTACAGACTCCAGATATAGCATCACAAGCAGGTCCAATCGAGCCAATCTCATCACATAAGCATTCTCTGGTGATTAAAAATGATAATACATATTGAGTGATTATGAATATGCAGGAGAGTTACCGTTATCAAAGATAATGTGATTAATTTTAATGTAAAAAATTGTATAAAATTAAAATTGTAAAAAAAAGCCTATACATAAATTGAAGTAATAAAATTTTAATTCATTTTGTAAAGTGGTTGCGAATCAGCTTCTCAAACTTGAGGTCAGACGTTCATTTATTTGCTAATAATAATAATAGATAGTAGGAATATTACTAATATAATAAGCAATTATGAACACTACTCAAATGGAAAAAAAAACTTACAAGCATCCGATGGAACTAAAGTTGTAATATCCAACAAGACAGCTGTCGCATTTTAAGTTGCTGACTGTTGATTTACAATAGCACGTACCATCCTGATCACACTGTAACGATTCTGAGCCGTTCTCATTACAATTACACGGCAGACAACCACCTCTGTCTTTGTCTTTAAAGTAATAGTTAATGCATGCATGGCACTGGAGGTCATCTGTCACATTCAAGGTGCTGAGCTGTCCTAGACGAGCGACACCATCATAGCACGGACACTGCCCTGTGGTGAAGTCGCACGCCAAAGCTGCCGATCCGGTGGCATTGCAATTACAAGCTGTGAATTATCAAATGAGAATTTATCGGTTTATATTTGATTGCATGTTTATTTAAGGGCAAACTTAAACAATGTTGTACTTTACGCAGCCCTTTGGGTGCATGTGATATATACGCAGACGTGTCGGGTACAGACACGTCATAGAATATCAAATTGTCCCTGTCTTTACACTTTAGGGAGTGGCTTTGTTCATCATGACAGAAATACCTACGTTGCTGGAATTGAACCAAGGTCCCTGGGATTAAAAAGCAAGCATCTTAACCACTATATAGCTATACAACTTCAATCCATTAACAAACTATTTGCTCCAAATAACACATGGCATATACATCATCTGTAAATTATATTTATGTAAAAACTGAATATCATTTTAAGATTAAATCAGAAATGAGTGTTAAAAGGCGCAACAAAATGTCAGGTTGACAGTTAATTGCCCAACTGAAAATGGCAGGGGGCAGTACTTACGGATGCAACCGGTGAAACCAAAATCATAATATCCCGGAAGACACTGGTCACATTTACGACCTCCGACCCCAAGCTTGCAAATGCACTGGCCTCCATAGGGATCACACATTGAGAGCAGCGATCCAACAAAGCTACACTCACATGCTGAGAATAACAAAATGCAAACAAAAATAAGAAAACATTCATCAATACACTTTTGCATACCCAAAGTTTGAAGCACTTTTCATATTTTGCAGCATTTTAGTGGATGGTCAACAGGTATTGTTCCTGCTTCTTGTTTGGTATACCCGATTCAAAGCTGCCTGCTTCTTGTTCGGTATACCCGATTCAAAGCTGCCTGCTTCTTGTTCGGTATACCCGATTCAAAGCTGCCTGCTTCTTGTTCGGTATACCCGATTCAAAGCTGCCTGCTTCTTGTTCGGTATACCCGATTCAAAGCTGGCCATAGTCAGGTTTTAATTGAAGTCTGATTGCTTGGGCTTCCAGAATGAAATTCACAAACTTACAATGTGCATTGCAGTTTATTTCAGCTGCTTAAATTTAATTTCTTAACACAGGTTTAAACTATGGACTCTTGTGAGTTACGGTTTTCAATTCAAAATGTCAAAAAACAGTTTAACTGTTATTTATAAAATGTGGCAAAGACAAGCCAAACCAGTCACTTGTCGCAAATTGTGTTTCAGAGGAAATGGCCAAAACATGCTGAAATGTCAAATTTTTAAAAATCTATTTTATTGCACTAAACTAAGCTTTATATATCTACACATCATTCTATGCTGTTATTTTCCCCATTTTCAATGTTAAAACAATTCTTTTTAAGGATTTAAAGATAGTTTCTGCATGAGAAATGCCTGAAATCATAAACTTTGATGGCTAATTTCTCATACATTGTTCTTTAAACAGCTGTGTGGTTAAACACTTGTAACTTCATAAAGAAATGTCCGATTTGAATGATTTTTTTATCATTTTTTAGCTATTATTTTACTCTCTAACACTGTATTAATAACTCAAAATTGATTTTTGCGACGAGTGACTGGTTTGGCTTGTCTTTGCCACAAATAGTATAACAAAAAAATGTTATAACATAAAATGTATCAGAAAATGTCAAATGCTGCCATTTAAATGTTCAGAGAAAAGCAATACTGCTGTTGTAAAATATATGGATGGATGGATTAACTCAGTGTAAACACCAAGGATAACCCATGAAAGTCTGAAGAAGAACTAATTCCAGTGGGGTGATTGGGAAGTACACCGGGAGACAATGCCCTACTTTTTCCTGAAGAGTGCAACGTGTTCTTAAATGTGCACATGGGCCATAATGCATACAGGACCAACTGTTTAGACATCTCATCCAAAAGACGGTGTGCTATTGTAACTTGCATTCAGTCCTCCATGAATTGAACCGGGGACCAAGAGATCTCCATGGTTTAGAGCACACATAGTGGCTACCACCAGATAAGCCAACTAAGCTAAGCTGCTCTCATAGAATAAAAGATATCTACAGACCAACAACATAAACTTGTCGCAGTAGTCTACGTAAATTTAAATCTAGTACAAGTCAACTTATGCAAGAGGTGCCTTACCTTCAACTCCATTGTTGAGCTGCGTTGAGACCGAAAAGAAGAATTCTTGACAATTGTGAATAGCTTGTTCTCTTGTTGATAACGTTGCTATGTCCAGTAAGCAATCATCGTACAAAACTTGCGATTCAGGATCTAATAAAAATAATCACATGATTGTTAGTAGAGTCATTACAGCACGTTGAATATTTTTTTATTGCACATGAACAAAATTCAGTATTGATAATGGTAATTTATGAGTGAAACATGTAAACATAGATGAAAATGGTAGTGACTCTGTAGAACTTAGTTTTGAAAAGAAATAACAGAATAGTCAATTCCTGCCAACCCCCATCCCACCCCACCAACTGGAAATGTTTGAATCAAAAAATCATACTCAAGTAGGCCTATTGTAGCTTAAAATCACCTTGCTTTGCATGCTAGATCCCTCTCACATCAACTTTGCGCTCCCCATTTCTCATCCCTACTAGCAGCCCCCCACTTTATGGTTCTTAGATATGCCATTGGCACAGTGTATATAATTGATATGTATCATCCTTATTTCACCACTGATACTGATCCAGGAAAAGTATTTATGAAACAAATAAAAAAAATGTTAAAGCATATAGTATGAATTATTCAATTTGTGTTACCACTCAGATTTGAAATTAAGCTTCAAGAAAATTATGCCCATCACTCTACTTTTATAATAACTGGCATATCTAAGAAGGGTGATACAAGCTTCCCCCTCACCTAAAAGCAATGTTTGTATCAACTGGCATGGAAACTTAATACACATAAGGATTACACTCAAATTGTGAAAAATAACCTTGTATCGCATTTCTCCAGCAACTGTATACAATTCAGTGCTGCATGGCTACAGCCTGTTCAAACTGTTTCTACTTTTTGAGATTGCATTAATCAATGATTATTTAATTGAAAACACCTGTACCAAACACTTGCATATGTTTTTTAAATTTAAAACCAGTTGCATGCATCTCAGCGCCTTGCGTCCTTTGTTACGGAATCAAATTGGCTGACAAAGTGTGTGCAAGGTCTAAGATGTCATACCTGCCAACCTTTCTATATTGTAAAGCCTTTTTACAGGTGTATAAAAAAAAAACTGACATTTTTTTTTGAATACCGATGGACTTGTTAAGTCTTGAGGCTGTAGATTGCAAAACATAATAATATTCTAAAACCTAATATTGGGGGAGATATTCATGGTAGCATCTACCAAGAAACCTTGAAAGCTTTTTGCGAAGTACTTGTGTGTTTATAATAAAAATAACTCATAGCCACTCTTACCTGCCACTTGATAGACAAGGAACTGGTTCAGTTCTGGGAGCAAAACCAGTTCATCAATGTCAATATAATCGCTATCAGCACCACCAGACTCTTCAAAGTAGACTGTCACAACATAACGACATAGCCTATTCATGTTGAGAGCATCCACAGTCAAGTTCCCCATCCAGGCCACCTTCTCCCCGGGCTCAAACATTATGTCTGTTGAGCTAATCTCAGTGAGGGCTGCAATTGGGCATGGGCTGTCAGTTGCTGTCAAGCTATTGCCTCCTACAGACACAACAAGTCTTGCATTCTCCCAAGGACTTTCTGACACATATGAATACCGCAACACCAGATACCAAATTCTAAATGGTGGGTGAAACGAAAATCAAATTAACAATCGTACCAGTTCCATGGTGTCGACTAGATCTAGGCATAACTACAGTGGAGTTGATCAGGTCCGCGGTGCTAGCAACAGCTACGCACGAAATTCTACCACGCACAAGAATGGACAAGAGCTGAGCTATTGGTTGGTTGAGAGGTATTGTTCCTGCTTCTTGCAACTGAAGACCCCGGTTCAAACCCAGCTAGCATCAGTTTTTGTCGGTTCATCGAATAATCCTAACATGAGAGTTAGGCGGGACGTAGCCACAGCAAAATAACCCAAAGTACAAAATAATGTTTATATCAATATAATTTTTAGTTTGTTTAGAAAGTTCAACTTCCCAGTTACTAAAGAATAGAACGAAAGGATCTTACGTTACATCTGTGTCCAACGAAGTGTCTCCCATCACATCTGTAAAAATCAAATCCTGATCCATCCGGCACCGACGGAATCCCTTCCCGGTAAATGCATCAGCAGGAAGGTCTGACCATCGTTCACATGTAGACTGAGCTTCCCATGCTTCGTATGAGTTGCTGTCCAAGTACTCGTAATAGTGTTCAGGTGTTAGGCCTTTGCACTGATCACCATTAATGTTTTGTCGACAGGTGCATGTGCCGGCTACTTTATCACACACCTGTGACATGGCGCCACCGTAGTCACAACCACATGGAATGCAATCCTATATATTAAATATAATCTCATGTTTATAAACTCTTTACATTGAAAGATGTTAAATTAGAACCAGTGCATAAGAAACAGACAATTTTGGATATCATTAAATACCTGCTCACTAATTGAGTGAGGCTGGCAATAGCTGGTATACCCAGATAAGTATTCCGTACAGTACATAAATCATCATCGATAACGTGAGATACTGCAGCAGGGGTAGGCATATATGATTGGAGGGCCAAAGGGAATTTCTGCAACCAAACATTGATGTTTCCAGTGTGTTTCCGAAAACTTTCATGTACTACTTTTATACCACTTTATTCTGAGTTTCAATGTTTCAATTTTTACCGATGAACGGTGTCGGGCCATAAAAAATAAGGTGTTTTCTAGACAGAGATGGTGAATGTCATACATAGGGTTTTAATTCATTTTCAAGGGCCAAAAAAAAAATCACTGTCGGGCCGCAAATTACCCAGTACTGTACTGGTCCTGGGAGGATAGACAATATGGATAAATTCCCTTGCCTATCATAAGGAAAATTCACAGTCAGACTCAAAATCTTGACCTTAAGTTTAAAGACAAACCATTATATTCTTTTATTGTATTTAAATTTATGTGTTTATACGATTTCAATATCGGAAATATTTTTAATGTTTTTTATGATCTTTAACTATTTTCTGATTCCATTAAATAAAATGATTGATTGAAAACACCTGTACCAAACACTTGCATATTTTTTTAAAATTTTTAAATTTACCTCTGTGTACAGGACTGGATAAGTATGGAAACCGTCTTTACAGATACTACAGTCTAAGCTGCCGGTACCTGTTTTACAAGGACACTGACCATCTTGTGCGCACACGTTGCTTGCTGACTGTGTACCAATCAGGTTGCATAAACAAACTATGATAAAAACATAAGGAATATCATAAATAATGCAAGATGTAGCACTCAATTCAAGATAACACAACAACTGGGTCCTCACAATTTAGGCAAGAACATGCCTCCCTGGAGCATTGTATCTTCGGCATTCACATAAATACTTATTCAAAAATTTAAAATAAAAATAATATAATATATATAATAATATGTAAAATATTGACAATAACAAAAGTAATAATAATTTGATGTTTTATATAATGTCTATGGATGCTTTACAAAAAATGTAAAACATATGGAAGAAAATAAATTGGAAATCCAGTGGGGCCTCACTCACTGATGTTGAATTAAGGTCAGATCTCTATGCGGAAGTATACAGACAATCCACCATTATAATGTACTTCGGAACATACTGCTACTGGTTTGGACATGTGGGTCTACTGCTATACACCACATATGTAGTAATGCTGTCATCAAGTAACACTGTTAATATCTACACTATAGGCCCAAAATCATGAGGGTGAAACCCCAAAGCCTAAAACCTTGAATAAAAGCCCAATGGGCTATTAATCTCGAGAAGAAGCCCATCTTGAATTGAAGCCCCCTCTTTAGTATGCAAATATAGGCTTGAAAAGAAGCCCTTCTCGAAAAGAAACATCGCTCAAAAACAGGGCCTCTATTCAAGGTGTTAAGGTAACCAGTCCGCAACATAGGTTTTATTTGTTTGGTACCATACTGTACTGTACCATAACCAATACCATCAAACTTACTTTTACAAGTACCAGGGTTAGGATCCAAAACTAAACCGAAGAAACCTGGTATACAATCACTACAGGATCTTCCGGTCACCATGTGTTTACAATTGCACTGTCCAATCGGTTTATTACGTACTGTGTCCGGGTACTGAGCACAGGTGGCATTTCCTTCAATTCCAAGTTCCTCACATCCACATTCTGCAAAATATCAAATTTAATTTAAATGATTAAAAAAAAGGTTTGCTGAAAGTTTAGTTGATTATCACCCTCGTGACAAACATCATTATT